TCATTCGTCGCGTGTTCATGCACGTATAAGGGAACGCTAGGTGTGATGTTGGAAAGGGGAGCGTGTAAGACGCGATAAGGAAAAGGGGAGAGACAGGTAGCGTACTAGCATGTAAGGCGTGATGTGGGGCATGTAAGGGAAGAGAAAGAGATGGAGAGAGAGACAGTGACAGAGATAGAGACAGTGACAGAAACAGAGAGAGAGCGAGCGATTGTGGGAGAAAGAGAGAGAGAGAGAGAAGGAGAGAGAGAGAGAGAGAGAGAGAAGGGAAGAGAAAGGACGAAATGAAAGGAAAGAGGGAGAGGGAGGCGAGAGGGATAAAGAGAAACCAAGTGAGAGAGAGAACGAGAAGGAAGAGAAAGACGAAATGAAAGGAAAGAGGGAGAGGGAGGGGAGAGGGGATAAAGAAACCAGAGCAAGAGAGAGAGAGAGAGAGAGAGAGAAGAGAGAGAGAGAGGCGGCTGCTGCGCGAGGGCACATTTTCTCCACCTCAGTGACACGATGTTTGCCTTGCAGTGGACCTGACAGTGAAGGATGCACCGGAGGAACAGATGGCAGTCATCAACACCACCGCTCTCGTCAAGTGTGTGATGGTTGGTGAGCCATCACCTGACATCAGGTGGCGTAAGGATGCAGTCAACCTCAAGTCAGGTAAACTAAGGCTGAGAGGGTCTATGTCCCCCGGGTACTGCCGGAACGTTACCCTGAGTACTATCTACATATGCTGAACCGTACCTTCGCCTACTCACTAACGAGTCTAGGAGTCGCCTACGCCTACTCCCTAAGCGAACCCGAACCCTAACCCTAATCCTAACCCTAACCATATCAAATAGTGACCAGGGTACGTTCCGGCAGTACCCTGGAGGACATAGACCCTATGAGCTAAACTAAGACTAGACAAGTAAACAGGTAGACAAGTAAACTCAAGACAGGTAAACTTAATAATGAATACTAGTCCCAGCTTTGCGATTGGAGTCGAGTTAATTGCTCAGGGGTCGTGATTGAATTGTGTTGAATTCAGGATCGAGTCAAATATTTCATGCAATCTGCAGCGATTTCAACTGTTCTATCACCGTTTTCCATTTGATTAGTGTATGGCGTAAAAAAAATGCAGGAAATGTGAAGGTTAGATACGTTTTTTCATAGTTTGATTAGGTTTGTATTGTCCAATCCTGTACGATAAATGCTTGTTTAGCATTTATATTACATATTGAATTTGATATCCGACTGAAATTTTGCAGCGATTATGAAACGCAATATTGGCTGGGTGTTGCAAGCATAAAATGTCTCCAATTTGCTTAAATTAATGCCAACATGCTGACAGAATAAGCTGGCCTGGGAAAAGTGTAGGTTATTCCCCAAGATACTGAACCTGATATCTAACTCCAGTTTTTGACACTATAGTGGCGCCCCCTAGTGTGCGACGTATCGATCGTTGCCGTGCACGCGACAGTAATTTCACACGAGGAGTCGATATTTTTCCAAGCGAAAAAAGTGGTCTGCTTCGAATAAATAGGGCAATTGTGCAACGAAGGTCCGCGTTGATTTTGAAGGCACGTCAAACAATGAGACTCATTAGATGTGGACGTGATATAGAGTTCCATTTGGCAGCCATCCGTCACGACGATGGAGGTTGATGAGAATGTGTCATGATGCTGCGCAGTGAATAGGCTGCAGCTAGGGTCCAGGCCATGCATGGGCTTTTTTGATTACTCGCTTCACTTAATGTTTAAAATGAGTATAAATTACTGGTAGCTCTGGTGCATGGATGTACCAGTCTCCTACTGTTACAGTTTGACACTGCTAGCGATACAGCTCTGTGCCAGAGAAAAGATGCAATTAGGCGACATTTAATTAAAGATAAATTATTAATAAATTGAATTAATAATGTATAAAAATTTTGATTTATTTTTAAATGAAGAAAGCTTTTGTGTTGAATTCCAGCAGCATCTGTCTGACCTACCACACATTCATTATAAAACTCCTCACAGTCCACCGATCTCCTGAATATCACATTGTTTATCCCCACCGTGCCTCATTTACCTGATTGACGAGATCCAAACCTATATCACCTGTCTAACAGCAGCGTATGTCACAGATCACTCGCACTGCCAGCCCACCTGTCACTTGTGCGTGACCCATGCACTCCTATCGGTCACCGGGGTGTCCTGGGCCGTAGCTAGCATGTGGGAGGCAAGAGTGGGTAGTTCCCCCCCCCCCAGAGAAATGTTAGATACGTTACATGGTCAAGCGCGGTCACCCTCCAGAACGAACAAATCAACCGGGGAAGGTGTTTTGCCCCCCCCCAAGCAGAATGGGTTAGCTTCGCTCTTTAGGTGTCGTTCCGTTGTCATGGTTCAACGGTTCCTCGACTCTGCAGATGATCACTACGAGATTTACCAGGGTCTGAAGATCAAGCATGTGACAGAGGAGGAATGCGGGGACATACCTGTTGCAGGCATGGTAGAAGAGCGGGGCTCAGATGGAGAAACATCAACATTGCGCTAGAGGTGAGTGCTGAGTTGCCAACGTAGAAAGATACAATATAGAATACAATATACAGTTACAGTATAATATAGCGTTGGTGTATTTTTTTAGTACTCTTATTGAATTTGTCGTTTTAATTGCGGCGGCGCTTTTTCTGTTAAACTGCAGTAACGTTGTCAATTAATTGTAAGCTCAGCATAATGCCTGCTTTATGATATAGGTATCTTAATACAGCTACACGTGGTGCTTCGTTGGACGTGGTGGGATCGCGTAGAAGGAAATACTAGAGAGTTCTAAATACTGAATTGGCTCACCGCTTTACTTTCATGAGTGAGTAAATGCGATAATTGCATGATGTGTGAATGATTACATGATATGTGATGCTTACATGATATGTGATAGATTACGATGATATGTGAATGATACATGATATGTGGAATTTGATGACATGATATGTGATGATTACATTATATGTGAATGATTACATGATTATGGAATGATTACATGATTGTGAATGATTACATGATATGGTGAATGATTACATGATATTGTGAATGATTACATGATGTGTGAATGATTACAATGATTGTGTGAATGATTACATGATATTGATGCATAATGTATGGGAATGTATAAGTGATGATATATGTATACATAGATATACATGCATCACATACATCGGCATGACACGGTATTGATGTGCATGACGATGATGTGTGAATAATTGATACACGATATGTGCACGAATAAATGTCATGTTACAGGTGTTTCAACAACAGCAATATTTTACCTGATTTTAATTATTAAGTAAAACGTTGCCTACTGTGTAAAAATCTTTGGTCACCAGTCAGTTAGGAGAGATTCCTGTATTAAAATGTCAGTTAGGAATTAAATGCTGGTATGCTTACCATGTAGCCACAAGCCTGGTGATTATAATATACAGCTGACTACCCGTGTAACTCCCCCCTCCCCTGTGTAGCCCCTCCATCCCTGCTACAGGCGCTCCCATTAACTGCATTCTCCTGTAGCCAGTAGGAAAAGCTTACATGGGTAGAGCTACTCGGTTAATTTGGAAGGTGGAGGTTTGTAGGAATTAAAACACAATTTCCAATTAAAAAAAATGTAATTGAGCGTCTGTGTCATGTACGATTCTGTCTTAATCTCTAGCTTATATTAATTAAGTTACGTGTTATTCAGTGGTCCGCTCCTGTCTCCTATGCAGTATATACATATGGTAATTAACAGGAGTTCAGATAGGGTGTAGTGTGGAAATGAGTTTTTCCTGCCATGCATGAATCTCATTTGCCACCTGCTCAGCTGATAACTAGCAAGCTTACACCAGCTCAATGATTAATGGCTAGCCGCGTGTGTTGGTATATATGCCCACATATTGATTTCGCCGTTGTTGAACTAAAATACAAACTCGTGTTTTTTCAAAATGGTAATTCGGTTACTGCAGGGTTTGACGCGCTTCAGAATGTTAAATATGTTTTTCAGCAGGCTTGAAACGAATAATTTGTGCGGTAATGATCGTACTCTACAGTGAGAAACAATTTAACAGTTGTGATTAATGTTATGTGCCGCATAATCGTACAAAGACGCGAGACCTTACCTTCATCTCTTCCCCCTCTCCCCTTCTGTAACCTTGACCAAATGTTAAAAGGTACATGGTATGAATGGAAAACAGCGCACCACGTTAACCTACTCGAATCCATTACAGTACTCTTGAGAACACAAAATATCTGTTTGTTACTCCTACTGGTAGATATATCAGTGACTGTTCCTCACACACATGTCAGTGCGCAAACATTTCATAGCTATATATATAGATGTTTGTGTCGCTATTTCAGGTTACCATCCCACCGACTGTCATCAGGATACCAGAGCCCAAGGTGAATGGGTAGAAGCCCTTGCGACGTTCGTGCTTCACTGTGAGGCTACAGGCAAACCCATGCCCACCTACAAGTGGTTAAGGTATGTCCAGTATTGTAAACTACAGCAAACACATGCGCCCACCTAGAAGTAGTACAAGGTATGTCCAGTATTGTAACTACAGGCAAACACAATGCCCACCTAGAGTAGTACAAGGTATGTCCAGTATTGATATAACTACAGGCAAACACATGCCCCCTAAGTAGTACAAGGTATGTCCAGTATTGGTAACTACAGGCAAACAATGCCCACTAGAAGTACTACAAGGTATGTCCAGTATTGTAACTACAGAGCAAACACATGCCCACTAGAAGTCAGTACAAGATATGTGCCGTATTGTTAAACTACAGGCAAACACAATGCCACTAGAAGTAGTACAAGGTATGTCCAGTATTGTAACTACATGCAACACATGCCCACCTAGAAGTAGCTACAAGGTATGTCCAGTATTGTAACTACAGGCAAACACATGCCCACTACAAATGGTACAAGGTTGTCCAGTATTGTAACTACAGGCAAACCTATATATGCCACCTACAAATGGTAGAAGGTCTGTCCGTATTGTAACTACAGGCAAACACATGCCCACCTACAAGTGGTACAAGGTATGCCCAGTATTGTGGCTATACAGGAAAACCCATGCTAACCTACAAGTGGTACAATTAATGTATGTCCAGTATTGTAACTACAGGCAAACACATGCCCACCTAGAAGTGGTACAAGGTATGCCAAGTACTGTAGCTTAGGCCAAACCCATGCCCATGCACCTACAAGTGGTACAAGGTATGCCCAGTATTGTGGCTATACAGGAAAACCCATGCTAACCTACAAGTGGTACAATTAATGTATGTCCAGTACTGAAGCTACAGAGGAATAGGTAGATCTATTTTCTTAATACTAGCTACATTATCTGCTGCTAATTTAATTATCATGAGTTTATGGGTGCTTAACCGCAGAATAAACAATTTACGATACAAGATGGCATCACTTTTATGGGATTTCAATAATATATTGGCTAATATTAGCATAATCTAGCTAAAATTGGAAATTGGTTTTGACGTAAGAACTTTAATGATAACCTACGGGTTTTGTGAGCTCAGCAGTAGCAGAGGCGACACAGTTATTGCAAAATCGCAAGCACACAGTTTAATGTGCGTGAAATGAGAAAAAATTCCAAGATTCTGAATTAATTAAAACAAAATTGCCAACGTGTACTCAGTTCAGTATTTAGAATGGAATTCATGGATGAACGTATTTATAATTGAATGCATGGAGATAGATCGGATTTAATCAGTGACCCGTTGAAAAAAACTCGAGTTAAAAATGCGATGTTTACCATTGCACATGTATGTGTAGTAATCTCTTTGTGTTTACACGCGTCTAGGGAACTCAAGAGCTGACCGATACCTTGAAGTATAACTTCGACAAGGGCACGTTGAAGATCATGGGCCTCGTGAAGGAAGACGAAGGAGAATATACGTGCCACGCGACCAACCCAGCTGCCGACCTGGTCGTCGGATCAACGGACCTTGTCGTGATGAGTAAGTTCTTAAGTCATCATCATCATCATCTTCGTTTATAGTCCATCTTTTCCCGTGCCTGGGGTTGGACTTGTAAGTTCTTAAGTATTATATTAATATATCGGCTGTATTGATTGTGTGCGCCTGCGTCAAATTTCTCCCTTGTGAAGACTTGATATCCCCAGCAGCCATGTCTGCTGTATTTCTACTTGATTTGCGCCCTTCTAATTCCCTCCTGCTCATTAATTAAATACCCCATGCTGATAATTTAATCCCATAGTTGCCATAAAAAGTGGTTTTGCTAAGCGAGCAGCTTGCTGCTATTGATCCTAGCGGCTGGGAGGCGGGGTGTGTTGCTGGTGTTGTCTGCTAACTTATTGCTGTCTGCTGCGTACGTGCAATACGCGTTGTAGTGTCTAGTACCATATCACACCAGGTTATATTGCTCATTACATTGTAACAAGAGTAGATTATAACACAATGTGTTATTATCTACTCTTGATTGTAATCATTCCCTGTGTTTGGCTCCCGGTTAACACTCAAACTGTGCAAGAAAAACTCATCAGCTCTGTTTCTACAACACTGGCGCCTGTTGCGGGTGTTTTAATCAGACGCACGAGAGAGCGTTTCGCAGGAAATAATGTGGAATGTGAGGAAAAATGCCGCGGGGAAAAATGTGGGATGTAAGGAAGAGAATTTCGCAGGAGAAAATGTGGGATGTAAGGAAGAGAATTTCGCAGGAGAAAATGTGGGATGTGAGGAAAAATGCCGCAGGAGAAAATGTGGGATGTAAGGAAAAGAATTTCGCAGGAGAAAATTTAATCTGGGATGTAAGGAAAAGAATTTTGCAGGAGAAAATGTGGGATGTAAGGAAAAGAATTTCGCAGGAGAAAATGTGGGATGTGAGGAAAAATGCTGCAGGAGAAAAGGTGGGGGGGTGTGAGTAAAAAAATATCGTGGAGAAAAAATGTCAATGGCATATTTTTGCCCGTTTTTTTCAGTCACACCAAATCTGATCGAGATGGATTCTGACGTGACGATAATCGAGCGATCGGAGGGCAGGCTGATGTGCGTCGTTAGCGGTGACCCACTCCCCGACATCACCTGGGAGAAGGCGGAGGGAGAGAAGTGGGGAGATGGCTTCACAGACCTTGCAGTAAGGATGCTGCAATCTCATTCACTCTCACGTCGTTAATGCAGATGTATAACATTGTAATATATCTGCTAGTGCCGATGTATAACTATATAATATATCTGCTAATGGTATTGCTATAAAGTATAATGCAGCTATATGTATAATACTGGTGTAAAATGTATATGATACCATCTACAACATCTATAATAATAGTGTATGCAGAATGCAGATGTATAGCATTAGAATGGCATCACTACAATGCAGCTATGTGATAATGATGTAAAATGTAGATTATACATCTACTGTGTATACGCCATATTTTTCACGTACAGATATATTTTCGCGAATTCAGACTTGACAGACAATTTCGCGGTCGGTGAATTAGGAAGTATTCGGTATTATTCGGTATTAATTACTCACGTGTTAATTGTTATTTTCGCGTCGGGGACGCGTTCGCGAAATTCACGACAATGAAACCACTGCGAAATATACAGCTTATACAGTATTATAATATTAGTGTTGTTACAATATGGTGCTATAATCGTATCATTGGTATGACAGTGACACTATGCAATCATACATGATTCATCACAACTGAGACACATCTGGGAATTGCGATACCGATTGCAAGCTTATCTAGTTATATATTATCGTAAGCAAGATCTCATTTAAGCACGACCTAATGGAAAAACCTTTTATGGTTGTCACTATATGTATGCAGATTACCCGTGGGGTTCTAATGTGTACGTGTGTGTGTGTGTGTTTAGGCTGGCATCAAGGTGACTTATGAAGAGGGTCCGACAAAATACAGTCGTGCGTTGATCCTCACGTTGAACCCGGCCCAGATCGAGCACGCAGGCACCTACACGTGCGCCGCCTCCAACCTCGCTGGCTCCCTGCACAGTCCTGCCAACGTCAGCATCAGCTGTGAGTATGCCTGCAGGGGCGGATCTAGGGGGGTCGATCGGTGTCCGGGGGGTCCGTACCCACCCTTTAATTTCAAAGTGTCCTAAAAAATTACTGCTCAGATGCTCTCAGAATGCACCAATTTTTAAATACATGATATACATGATCACATACATCGCATGACATGGTATTGATGTGCATGACGATGATGTGTGAATAATTGATACACGATATGTGACGAATAAATATCATGTGACAGGTGTTTCAACAACAGCAATATTTTACCTGATTTTATTAAGTAAAACGTTCCTACTGCTGTAAAAAAAATCTTTGTTCACCAGTCAGCTATGAGAGATTCCTGTATTAAAATGTCAGTTAGGTAAATGCTGGGCATGCTTACTATGTAGCCACAAACCTGGTGATTATAATATACAGCTGACTACCCGTGTAACTCCCCCCTCCCCCGTGTAGCCCCTCCATCCCTGCTACAGGCGCTCCCATAACTGCATTCTCCTGTAGCAGTAGAGAAGAGCCTACATGGGTAGAGCGCTACTCGGTTTGGAAGGTGGAGGTTTGTAGGAAAACACAATTTCACAATTAAAAAAAAATGTAATTGAGCGTGTGTCATGTACGATGATTATATATTGTAAATGAGGGTGTGTCTTATCTCTAGCTTAATTATATTAATTAAGTTACGTGTTATTCAGTGGTCCGCTCCCGTCTAGCTCCTATGCAGTATATACATATATGGTAATTAACAGGAGTTCAGATAAGGGTGTAGTGTGGAAATGAGTTTTTCCTGTATGCATGTAATCTCATTTGCACCTGCTCAGCTGTATACTAAGCAAGCTTACACCAGCTCAATGATTAATGAGCTAGCCGCGTGTGTTGGTTATATATGCCCACATATTGATTTCACTGTGTTGACGTCAAATATAACCAACTCGTGTATTTTCAAAAATGGTAATTCGGTTACTGCAGGGTTTGGAGCCGATTCAGAATTGTTAAATATGTTTTCCAGAGGCTTGAAACGAATAATTTGTGCGGAAATTATCGTACTCTACAGTGAGAACAATTTCAGCTTGTGATTAATGTTATGGCCGGCGCACAATCGTACAAAGACGCGAGACCATTACGTCCATCTCTCCCCCTCTCCCCCTCTGTAACCTTGACCAAATGTTAAAAGTGAGGTGTATATATGAATGGAACAGCACCACGCTAACCTACTCAAATCCATTACAGTACGTACTCTTGAGTTCACAAAATATCTGTTTTGTTATACTCCTACTGGTAGAATATCAATGACTGTCCTCACAACATGTCAGTGGCAAACATTTCATAGCTGGACGTTTGTGCATGTCGCTATTTCAGGTTACCATCCCACCGACTGTCATCAGGATACCAGAGCCCAAGGTGAATGGAGTAGAAGCCTTGGACGTTGTCTTCCACTGTGAGGCTACAGGCAAACCCATGCCGACCTACAAGTGGTACAAGGTATGTCCAGTATTGTAACTACAGGCAAACCCATGCCGACCTACAAGTGGTACAAGGTATGTCCAGTATTGTAACTACAGGCAAACACATGCCGACCTAATGATAATCAGGCCTTCCACGATATGATAGGCGTGAGCATTATAAAGCCTTTACCCTATGATTCGTATCATGATAAGGGCCTTCACATATGAATCGTAATCATGGGGGGGATATCGGCTCTTTAATCGATTATGATATGTATCAATGATACAGCCTTACCCGGATATGATAGTATCATCGGATATTCAGGCCTTACGATATAATGACGTATCATGATACGGCCTTCATGATATGAACGTCATCATAATAGCGGCCTCTCAACGACCTATAATAATTAGTGTACGGACGAACGGCCTTCAGAATATGAACCGTATACGATACACGCTTCACGATATGATATGCATCAGGCATACTCAGAATTTGGGAAGAATTCTAACACGGTTTGGCTAGATCCTGATGCTGACCCGCAGGTTACACATGCTGCAGCTGCTCACGGTAGCAATGTAACAGAGGCGCATGCGTGCAGGTCAGGGGCGGATCCAGGATTTTTGAAAGGGGTGTCCAGAAGAAATAAAGGCACTTTTTCCGAATACTGTAATTTTTCTGGTGTTTTAAAAGCTGCCGAACCATGTCGCCACTTAGGGGGGAGGGCACCCCTCCCCAATACACAATTATTTAAAATTATGGTGGCATTCTGAGAAGGGCAATCTGAGACAGTAATTTCTTTTCTTAGGGCCCCTTTGAAATTAACAGGGGTGGCAACCATTGGGTGCCGGAGCCCCCGGACACCCCCCCGCCGCCCCCCCTCTAAAGATCCCCCTGCAGGCATACTCACAGCTGATAGCTGACGGTTGGCAGGACTGGTGCAGGGAGCCAGCGAGGTTGGAGCGCGCACGTGTAGGTGCCTGCGTGTCGATCTGGGCCGGGTTCAACGTAGGATCAAACGCGCGACTAGTATTTGTGACCCGCTCTTATTCAAGTCATCCTTGAGGCCGGCCTATGAACAGACACACACACACGTTACACATTAGAACAACGGGTAATCTGCGATACTATAGGCTGACAACATAAAAAGGTTTTCCAATTAGGTCGTTGCTTAAATGAGATCTTGCTTACGATAATATTATAAACTAGAGAGCTTGCAATCGTATCAGGGAATTCCCGAGATGTGTCTCAGTTGTGATGAATCATTCGTATGATTGGCATATGTGTCCCTGTCATACCATATACGTATATAGAACCATTTGTCACGATTGTAACAAACACTAATATTATAATACCTGTATAAGCTGTATATTCCGCATGGTTCATTGTCGTGAATTCCGACACGCGTCCCCGACTGCGAAAATAACGACATTAACAACGTAGTAATTAATACCGAATAATATCCGGAAACTTCTAATTCACCGCGCTGAATTCGTCTGTCAAAGTCTGAATTCGCGAAAATAACTGTACGTGAAAAAATATGGCGTATACAGCAGGTAGATGTATATCTAATCATTTTATTCATCATTAGACAATATGCTGCATTGTAGTGGCCTATTCTAATGCTATATCATCTGCCATTCTGAATACACTATTATTTAGATGTGTGAGATGGTATCATATACATTTTTACATCATATTTATGACATATATAGGCGTGCATTTACTTTATAGCAATACATTACAGATATATTATAGAGTTATACATTGCATTAAAGACGTGAGAGTGAATGAGATTGCAGCATCGCTTATCGGCAAGGTCTGTAAGCCATCTCCCACTCTCTCCTCCGCCTCTCCCAGGTGATGTCGGTGGAGTGGGTCACCTGCTAACGCGGGGCACATCAGCCTGCCCATCCGATGCGCTGATAGTCACGGTCAGAATCCATCTCGACTCAAGATTTGAGGTGTGACTGAAAAAAACGGGCAAAAATAGCCATTCGACATTTTCTCATCACGATAGTTTTTTTACTTCACATTCCCGCCACCTTTTCCTTCGCTGCGGCATTTTTCCTCACATGCCCACTTTCTCCTGCGACATTCTTTTCCTTACATCCCACATTTCTCCTGCAAAACTTATCATTCCTTACATCCCAGATAAATTTTCTCATGCGAAATTCTTTCCTGTACAACCCACATTCTTCGTCCTGCGGCACTTTAATCTTCCTCACATCCTCAAATTTTCTCCGTTGAGAACTGCGAATTCTCGTTCCTTACAGTCCCCATTTTCGCCCTGCGGCATTTTTCCTCAGCAATTCGCAAACATTATTTCCTGCGAAAACGCTCCCGTCTCGTCGTCTTGATAAAATACCCGCAACAAGGGGGCGCCAGTGTTGTATATGAAAACAGAGCTGATGACTTTTCTTGCACTTGTGAGTTGTTAAGCCGGGAGTGCCAAACACAGGGCACACCTGATTACTATCAAGGAGTAGATAATTAACACATTGTGTATTATCTAACTCTTGTTACAATATTGAATGAGCAATATATAACCTCGGTGAAATGTACTGATACTACAACGCGTATTGCCAGCGTACGCAGCAAGAACAGCCAATAAGTTAGGCAGACAACACCGCAAACACAGCCCTGCCCTCCGCAGCCGCTGAGGCATAATAGAAGGCCAAGCTGCTCGCTTAGCAAGACTTTTTAGGCAACTTTGGGATTAAATTTATCAGCATGCATGGGTATTTAACTTAATGAGGGCAGGAGGAATTAGAAGGGCGGAAAACAAATCAAGTAGAAATAGCAGCAGACATGGCTGCTGGGGATTCAAGTCTCACAAGGGAGAAATTTGACGCAGGCGCCCATAATCCATACAGCGATATATTAATATAGATACTTAAGAACTTACAAGTCCAACCCCAGTCACGGGAGAAAGATGAACTATAAACGAAGATGATGATGATGATGACTTAAGAACTTATCATCAAACAAGTCGTTGATCCTACGACCAGGTCTGCAGCTGGGTTGGTCGTGGCGACGTATAATTCTCGCTTCGTTTCCTCACGAGGGCCATGATCTTCTATCGTGGCCCTTGTCGAAGTTGTATACTTCAAGGTATCGTCAGCTCTTGAGTTCCCTAGACGCGTGTAAGACACAAAGAGGATTGATTCTCTGGACACATGTGCAATGGTAAACATCGCCTTTTTAATCCGTCGATGTTTTTTTCAACGGGCAACTGATTAATCTCGATCTATCTCATGGCATTCATGTAATAGTTCATCCATGAAATTCCATCTACATACTGAACTGAGTACACGTTGGAATTTGTTATTAATTAATTTCAGAATCTTGGACTTTTTTCTCATTCACGCACATTAAACTGTGTGCTTGCGATTTTGCAATAAAATGTGTCGGCCTCTGCTACTGCAGAGCTCAACAAAACCTGTAGTTTATGCATTAAGTCTACGTCAAAACCAGTTTGCCAAATTTTTAGCTGATTAGGGCTAATATTACGCCATATATTATTGGAAATCCATAAAAGTGATGCCATCTTCTATGTAAAA